AACCCGTGAATCAAGCTTCAGTTGTGGCTGCTCCACTTCTGATCTGCCTTCCTGCTAGTGAAACTGGGAAGGCAGTGGAAGACAGTCACTGTGCTTGGGCCACTGCCATCCATGTGGGAAACTCAGGCGAAGCTCGATTGTGCTGGCTTCAGCCTGACTTAGCTCCAGTTATTGTGGCCATTTAGATGGAGTAACTTTTTGTTTTCTCTCCAATTTCACCTTTCAAATAAATATATATATCTTAAAAAAAAAAGGCCCCAAACCATTAACTAATAAAAAGTCACAATGACTCATTGCTATTAGATCTATACAGGTTTTGTGTTAAGGTCTCTCACCTATTTTGAATTAATTTGTATGTATGATATCAAGGAGCAGTTCAATTTCATGTGACTGACTGGTAGTACAATCACCATTTACTTAAAACATTTTTTAGTCACTGAATTAGCTTCACATTTTTTCAAAACCCACTGTTAGCATGCTGACCTATGTCTGAGCTACAGTCCACTCTGGCTATATGCTTGTCCAGTGCTAGTGCACTCCATCTTTACTACTGAGGCTTTCCATTAAGTTTCAAAATCAGAAGTGTGGGTTCTCTAATTTGTTTTGTTTTGCAAGACTGTTTTGGTGACTACAGGTACTTTGATCCCTGCATTCCTTATGAATCTCAAAATTAGTTTCCAATTCATGCAAAGAAAAATTCTGATGGAAATCATGTTGAACCTATAGACCAATTCAGGTATTACTACCATGCATCAATCTAAGCCTTTGGTCTGTAAAGGTGGTATGTTTCCACATATTGGAGTATTTTCAAAATCTCTGCTAAAATATATTTGGCAGTCTTTAAAATGTTTGTTTTGCACTTTAGGATATACTTATGTATGGGTTTTTCATGGTAAAGTTTAATTATTTGAAAAGCAGAATGACAGAGGAAGAAGAGAGAGAAAAGGATCTTCTTTCTGCTGGTTGTCTCTCCAACTCCCTACAATAGCAAGGCTGGAACTGGGCTGATACCAGGATCCTTGAATTCCACCTGCATGGCAGAAACCCAATAATGTGGGCAAACATCTGCTACCTCCTAGGCACACAGCAGGAAGTTGGAAATTCAGAGTACCCAGGACTCGCACCACTCTGATAAGGAATGTGGGACTCACAAGAGAAAGCTTCACCAAATATGCACATTCGTTGTCCTATTTTTGTTTGATACTATTACCAGTGGAATTACTTTTGAACTGCACAGTTTTGACGTTATTTTTTAATCCTAATTCTGTACTTTTCTAAAGATTTTATAATGTGTAAAAAAGACACACTTTTACTTATTACAATCTGACTGGCTTTCATTTTATTTTCTTACCTAACTGCCCTGGGGGAACCTCTAATGTAATGCTATCTCAGATTGAGAGTAAGCATCTGTGCATTGTTGCTGGTTTAAAGGGGGAAAATATCCAGTCTTTCAACATTAACTGGGCTGCTTAGTAAATACCATTTAGCAGGTGGAGAAAGTTAGAAAGCCAAGACAGAAAGAAGAAACACAAAGAGCAGATTAAAAGAAAGAGAAAGTAAAAACATATGGGAAGGGAGTGAGAGTGAAATGACTGATGTATAAACAGAGAGGAACTAAATGTTGGAAATAGGAGTTTAAAAAGGAATTCACTAAAACATAGATTCTAAAATATATATTTTAAGCAAAAACAGTTAAGAACCTACGTGCCTTGCTTTTGCCACTTGTGAAAAGAAAATGGGGACATTTACTATAGAAACAAAATATCTGTTTTATATGAGATATGAGGCACTGAAAATCTAAAGAAACAATGTAAGCTTATTTTTTATACTTGATATTTCATGAAAGAAATCAAATAATTAAAGCAGTGAAACTAGAAAGAAAATAAGGTAGAAAATGCACAAAGAGGGGTTTAAAAATGAGAGCATATAGAGAGGAAAGAGACAATTAGTTTTGAACAGAAGAACGAAATGAGGAGACAGAGAAATGACATTTCTGGAGAGATGAATGGAAAGAAGCAAAGACAGCAGAAACAGGACAGAGCGTCTTCACAAGTGGGGATGGCGGTCCATGTGTTTTGCTTGTATTCACATATAAGACTATAACAGTTCTGTTACAGAGTTTCTTCCTTTGTTAAAATGTAACTCCCTCATTTTGAGCAGTGTATTGCATAATAATTTTATATGACAGCTTACAAAACAATGAGGTTATAAAGGCATTAAAGATAAGGCACTTAATAGCCACAAATGAAACCCATCGGGAGAGTGAGACAATCAATCAATACAAGACAAGTCAAAAAATAAAAATGCTGGAGTGCCATACTCAGGTTTGCTGCTTATCATTTTAGACTTTCAAGAAATATACTTTCAAAGGTATCCCTCTTTAAGTTTTGAAAAGTTGGCCGTCTCTCACTTCCTTTCAGGAATTCATAAGGCTCACCACAGTTTTTCACAAACTCTAGGTAGTCAAACAATAACACAGTGTTTTCCACTTTGGATTACTAAATGTGTGCCAAACTTGTTTGAGCAACCACTTACACAAAATGAAACTCGTGTTTTATGGAACACGCAGTGGGGAATATTGTGAAGTGGACCACAAAATGGGGGAAATTACCTTTCAGTAGAGAATTAGAAGTAGAACATAAACAGGCAGCCTAGTCGTTAAACTCCTCAGCTCTCTTGTCCAAGAAAAAGTTTCAGAAATCAGCAATGACTAAACAGTAGTAGTCAAAATGTCAAATTACAGACCTAGCTAAAAAAATCATTCTTTTCAGTACAATTTTTACAGTGAGATATATATATCATAAAATTTACTTTCGATATAAATTTTCAGTTTACTCACACATTTATGTAATTTTTATTACTCTCTAATTTCAAAACATTTCATTACTCCAATATGAACTCCATTTTCATCAACATTTGCCATTCCTACCCCATTCCGCCAGACTTCAGAAACACTAACTTCTGACTCTATGTATGTATCTTCTTTGGATATGTCATATAAATGAAGTAATATAGTAAGTGCCCACTTGCATCTGGTCCACTGAGATTTTATGGTTATTATCACCAGAGGAATATGAAAAGTAGTCCCAGGATGTAGGGCCCTAGGCTTTGTGCAGACATTTTTATTATAACTGAACCATTCCCACTCTCATTTCATTCTAATGTGGTTTCCTCCTCGTGCTATATTTTCTCTGATGATGATACAGCATTTCAATGAGACCTTAAAGTGTTTTTGATAAATTCCTTTGGGAATACCTCTGGTTAGTTACTTATTTAGAAATGACTCCAGAATATGTGCTGTCAAGGAAAAGGTATCTGGTTGAGTATGTCACATCATTCAGGACCCAGGTTTTTATGTTTGATATTCAAAGACATATCACAACCCTAGGGTTAAATGAATACTCCAAAACTATCATATCTGCTTGGAATTCAAGTTCTCTTGAGCAGGGAGATACAATGATATCAACGTAAAAGAACACAATCCCAAGGAATAAAAGACCAACCGTAAGGCAATTAAGCTAACCGTTAAGGGTCTGCTTAGGAGGGAGATGAGAATGAAAAGAGGCTGCTGCAGAGACGGGAATGCCTCACAGAGCATAGTCTCCCAAGCATTAAGGATAGAATTGACCAGAGAGTGGAAAGGTAGAGGAGAAAAGGAACTATCTCAATGATTCATTCTGCTGATGAATCTTAAAACATAGGAATTCATCCGCCAAAAGGAAAAACTGGGACCCTATTTGAGGGTCACTTATATCTGAAGTGGAAAAGATAAGCTGGCCTCAAAGATTTTCCAAAAATATTGGAACATTAAAGCATTTCGCCCAGAATTTATTTTTGAATAAAATCCATCCCTCTAGATTCTAAGGAAGCCAATAGATAAGAACGGTAATTATCACTTTATCATTATTTGACAACTGTACATTTACTCTTACTATCCCAATGAGGTAAATACAAAGTTAGTTGGATTAGGTAATTCCTGAGGCCTCCTTCAGCTTTAACATCATGGGTTTTCACACAAGCTAAACATTTACTAGAGTTATGAATATTACACACTACCAAAAACATTAACCACAAGGTAAGACTGTGATACACATATGTTAACGGGAAACTGATCAACTCATTCATCAGAGATAATTGAGAAATACAATCTTAGATTGATCAAATGTTAAAAATAGCTGTCCCTGTCTAGGTGGCAAGCAGATTACCAATATTTTCCTGGCAGTAACATTTACTGGAGAAGAGCAGAAATTCATTTTTTAGAAGAGGGAGACTAGAACAGCTGAAAAACAGACCAGCGGGAAGAATAAGACACTTGTTCATCTGTATTTCTGTGACTTTTCTCACTTGGTATTATTTGCAACTGCACTTTTATGTCTGGCAGCAGTGCCAACTTCAGTCCAAATCATGAATTATTTTTATCATGTTGATTACATATGTTCGTCAGTTTAGTTGTCTATATATGCTTTGTGTGGTTTGCAAACACTCAGTGACAAAATCCAGAGCACAGCATTTTCACAGAAAGTGTTTACTGTGAAATTTCTCCTTAGAAGTTTGCTTTTCTTTACAGCTTTGATCCATATGACAGCCAGCCCTATGTTTCAAATAATGGCTTATTCTTAAATTAAGAAAATGCTTTGCTTTGATACAACATGACTACGGTAGGATGTGGTAGTTCCAGAGAGGACCTCATTTTCTTAAGTGATTAGAGATTTGGTCAAATTTGAAGTCTGCTAAAATTTTCCAAACTAGGCTTCTTCAGTTTTATGGTGACTTGGTACTTATATTCTGTTATTCATCAACACTTCACAGAAATACTTGATTTGTCTGAATGAATTTAAAAACCCACAACTGAAGAAAATCAGAAAAACCTGGTTTTAAATATCAAAAGACCCCCAAATGAAAAGTATTTCTACAGGCCACACTAAGCAAGTTTTATTGATCACTGTACTTTTTGGCAGGATGAAATTGTAGCAAGATTCAACATGAGAAAATAAACTTACTGGTAAATATCCTTTCTGAGGACAGATCTGCCAAGGGGATTGTCAGCCTGGGGAGCCATGGCAACAGAGCCAATCTTCAAAACCATAGTGTCTTCTTTAGCTTCCTGATTCACTGTGGAAAAAGAAAGATTAATGCACACACTGTAGATTTGTTCATGAACGTCACAAATAAGGAGAAATCTGATAAATGAAGAATACTAGAAAGAAAAAGTAACAGTTAAAATTAGGGTATTTGAGATTGTTCTTAATGCCCGCTTTCCCGAATACCCCATCAGGTGGTTTTCTGTTATTATACACAGTCAAAGTAGCAATGAAAACATAAACAACTCCACTCTAACATTAAAACACACTATATTAAGTATATGCAAGTAATATGGAAGCCATATGCTTATATAAATACACAAACTATTTTTACAACTTTTCAATTATTTGAAAAATAGGGCAGGGAGTAGGGCTGGGGGGGGACAGGTATCCCACCCACTGTTTCCCTCCTATAAAGCCCCTAACAGCCAAGAATGTGTCAGGCCCAAGACAGAAACCTGAAACTGCACCCAGGTCTCCCAGGTGAACAGTGGGGATTCAAGTACTTAGCTGTAGTACTTGTGAGTACTGTTGTCCCCCAGAGTGTGCTTTAGTAGGAAGCTGGATCAGAAGTAGACAGAGGACTAGAGTCCCTGGCAATCTGATATGGGTAGTAGGCATCTCAAGTGGCATGTTAAACACTGTGCCACAAAGTCTACTCATAATTCCAGGAATATTAAACTATTACATCTTCCAAGTGATTTTCTTTTTAAGATTTGTTCACTTTTATTGGAAAGACAGATTTACAGAGAGAAGGCGAGACACAGATCTTCCATTTGCTGGTTAACTCCCAAAATGGCCCAACAGCCAGAGCTGAGCCAATCCAAAACCACGAGCTTCCCCGGGACCTCTCACACCAGTGCAGGGGTCCCAAGACTGGGGTCATCCTCCACTGCTTCCCTGGCCACAAGCAGTAAGCTGTATTGGAAGTGGAGCAGCCAGGACACGAACCAGCGGCAATATGAGATCCTGGTGCTTGCAGGTTGAGGATTACCCAAGTGAGCTATCAAGCCGGGCCACCTAGTGATGGTTTTCAATGCTCCTTTCTTGTCTACAAATATATTATATGATATCATAAAGGGAATAACAAATTCTTAAAGCTACTTAAATTTATGATTGATAATAATCAAACACAAAGAATCGCAAACACGTAGTGCATTAAAATTCAAACCTGTCAGAAAACGCAAACATGATGGCTGCAATGCTGGAAAGTGTTTAGCATAAGAAAACATTCTAACTTGTTACTCTCAGCGCAAGTAGCATCTTTACCTGTTTGAAAGTTCTACATCGCACGATGTAGTCTAAAATTAAGAAGTCTCAGAAAAGTAAGAAAAAATCCATCTCAATAACTCACGGGCAAATTCAGTGTCTTTTCTAAGGGTTCTTTCAAATGGAAAGTAATTCTTGATGGTTCTACTCATTTAACCTTACATATTATTTTCCAACAGATAATTCTACGTCAGTAGCTGTTTAAATATTGCTTAAAATTGTTTAAAAATTTTTAACACTATGCAATATTCCAGATTTTAAGGTAAACATATTCATATACTAAAACTCATCATTCCTCTCCAGCAATTAACATCTGCCACAAACAGAATAGAAAAGGACTGGCTGCAGGATCTCAGGAATATCCTGCACAGAATATGCCTACAAAGGCACACAATCCATATTTCCCAAACTTTTCTGCACAAAGAATGCAAACGCGAGATTATTTCCAGCTGCTTTAGCTGTACACTTGGTATGGTCTGACTTAGATTAGCCTTAAAAAGAAAGCCAGAATGAAGAAAATCACAAAAAAGTAAGTAGAAAGCTATTCAGTGAGAAAAAGAAGGAATCAAAATAAGAGGATCCTAAAGGGAGGGGGAAAGGCAAAATGGCAGTGAGGCTGGAGGAGGGCAAGCTCAGATAGAGGGGAAAGAGAGAAGCCACCCCAGGAAGGATTAGCATGTGGCCACCAGAGTGAAGGCAGTACTTCTAAATGTCCACAACAGGAAAGATCAAATGGAAAAGCACTCTTGAGCTGCACTATTGTCCAACGTCGAAAGACCTGCCTTGATTATAGGACCTCATATTGTGAACACTGTTTACATTTCACAGATCTTGCATTTTATGCCAAGCTTATCAAATAGTTCCATGTGGGGGAAACTTCTGATTAAGCAGCAGGCATCAATTAACTCAATAAATAGTGAGCCTGGAGAATGGACCATACCACCAAAGTGCAATTAGTGTACTTGCTAACTGTTCTTTCAGGCTGCAGATACTACTCACCATATGACCGTCTGAAATGGAATAGAAACACTGCAGTAAATGAGGCACATATGGAAGAAAAATGACGTACTTGGTGCTACACACAAAGCCAGAGCCAAGAACAGAATTCTGTTTGTTAGGAGCCAAAAGTATTCTCAGTAGAATATACTGAGAATGAAGTTATAATTTTAGAAAGCACTTAATGCAGATCATTCATAATCTAAATTAAAACGATTTATTAAAGAAATTATCAAAATATTTGAGATATAGGAAAAATTAAAATATGTATTTATATAAGACAGCACCTTGAGTCATTTTTCCAGTTACTATATAGCTGGAAAAAAAGCAAGAATCCCCTTTTGGGTTTACTTCACCTTCATTTACTAGTTGGATCGTATGAGGAAATGTTCCTTCTTAAAGCATTTTTAACATGAAAATAAATACCTTCCTTCATTGCTTTAACTATATTTTTAAGGACTGATTTCTCATGAGAAGCTACTTTAGAAAACTCATGAGATCAAAACAACAGGCCTCAATGCTAATATATTCATGAAAAGCTTAAGCTCGAAGTCAACCACCTATAATATATGGGAATCTTAAAATCACACAGCATACACATAATTAAATGCAGATGTATAATATCACTTTTCTGAAGCAAAGATTAGAATGCTAAACATATTTATTATCAACTGAATTTTAGGCAGGATTAAATTATTGGAAATTTTGCATTAACATAAAGTCCAAAAGATTTATCTTTTATGGGGCAACAGCATGTATATGTCTCCGTGTGTGTATGCACGCACACAGAAGCATGGATGTGCACATGTGTAGGCCAAATGAGAAGGCTATAAATAACTCTGAGATCATAAGTTTATATCATGAATCAAAAGCTTCAATAAAGTTTAAATTTTCACACAATTTTTGGATGATGTAAAACCATGTTGCTTACAACCGAGTCTTCTTTGGCCCAGTATGAGAAATATGTTTGGAGACTTCAACTTTCATCAGATTCTCAAAAGAAACTTAGTGGAGTAAAACATTTAAAGTCTCAAAAGTATCTGAAATTGCTACTATGTCATGTGATATCTTTTACAGTCTAACTACTGCAGTAGCCCTACATAAAGCCATCAACAAAATTTTTAATTAGTCATTGGATATTAGCAGTTTAAGACAGCAAAAAGGCTTAACAAATGTGAAAATATTATGCGTACTAATGGAATGTTGAATATTATGTTCTACCTTCTTAGACCAATTTACATAATAGTACTTATTTCTAATGGAATTACTGCACCAATCATGACTTCCTTATTCAATCACATTATAGCTTTTTCCATGTGTTAAATAGAAACATTAAATCTTTCATATAAAATACACATCTGAAAAAAGATCTACACTTGGGTTACATATTGGGATAAATGTGCTGATTTACATACTTTTCCATCTGTATGGCCTATTATTTCCTTAGTTTTCCTTATAGAGTACTCCTCTATTTCTCGATTAATTACTTACATCCAATTGAAAATAGAGAATTGGGAGGGGGGTGAAAATATAAAATCTATAGTGTAAGAAATTTTGAGAAAAAAAATCACGAAACCTCACAAACATGTCTCATAGGAGAACTCATTCAAGGTAGGAAAATGCCTTATACAACCAAATAGACATTTATAGAAAAAAAAATACTAATATGCGGGTACTGTGGCACAGCAGGAAAGCCACCATCAATGGTACCAACAGCCCTATGGGTGCTGGTTTGTTTCGCCTGCTCCACTTCCAATTTACCTCCCTACAATGCGCCCGGCAAAGCAGCAGAGAATGCCCTAGGTGCTTAGGACACTACACTCAGGTGGCAGACTTGAAAGAAGTCCCAGGCTCCCGGCTTTGATTGGATACAGAACTGGCTGTTTCAGCTATTTGGAGAGTGAATCAGTGAATGGAAACCTCTATGTAATTTTCTGTCTTCTTTGCAAATAAATACATAAATCTTTTTTTTTCAAAGAAAAGCATGTTCAATTATCACAAAAAGTCATATTCATAATTTTAATAAAACAGAGAAGATTTCTTACATATACCAATCTAAAATTGCTGATTTTAATTAAAAGATATATCACAATATGATGGTATTTTTGAAAATAAAATGGAGTGCCCTAGATTCTTTGCAAAATACTGGTACATTTCTTTAATGAAGACAAATTATGTCTGCCTCTATGGTGCTTCCTTATCAGTTACAAAGTAAAAATATAGTTTGATAATTTCAACAATTTTTATGCTTATGTCTCTTCCTCCAAAGTTACGAGAAAATGCATGCTCTCTGTATAGAAATGAAGTTTTTTCCCCAAATCTATGCAACTTTAGTAATGTTGTATTTCCCAGGATTTGTTAAACTTTCACATCATAAAAGATAATAAGAAAAAACATAAAGGTCATTGCCTCGGCAATGAGAATACAGTTTCTTACCTTTTTAAATGATTTATTTCTTTTGTTTGAAAGGCAGATTTAAAGACAGCTGGGAACAGACTTTCCATTTAGTTGGAAACCAGGAGTCAGGAACCCCATCCATGCTTCCCAAGTGGCTGTCAGGGGCCCATGCACTTGGACCATCTGTTGCTCCTTTCCCAGGCCATTAGCTGGGAGCTAGATCAAAGGTGGAGCAGCTGGGACTGCTGTCCACTGCAGGCAGCAGGTTAACACACAAAGCTGCAACACTGGCCCCTGGATTTTCTTTTAAATCAGTTAACAAATATTAGGTAAAGACTCAATGCTGCTTCTTGTTAATGTGTATCTATAGATGAAATTTACTGTATGGTACTATTAAAATATTACATACTCAGCGACAGTAACTGCAGAATCCAAATTAACTGATTTCAAGATAGTCCTTATTAAAAATTAAACATCAAAAGTAGGAAATAGTTTCTATTAACAATCTGCAGTGTAATGTAATAAACTCACCATTAGAGCTAGGTTATTATAAAGTTACAAAGAAGCTAACTATATTGCTTTTACTTCAGGGTGAAGTTTTTTAAATTACATGAATGAAAAAAAAATATTTGTAATAATACCATTAAACAGCATACTTTTCCTAAGACCATCTGATTTATGGCAGACAGACCAACAGACATAAACAGAATGTGGTTTTCCCTGCAATTTAACATCAGGACCATCAAGTCTTCTTCCTTTACACACTAACTAAAAGAGAAGGAAACAAAAAAACTCAAAAAAAAGACTTTCACTATTTTTATGTAGCATAGATTATAACCCATACCTCAGGTACCCAAGCTCTTTTCTCAAACCCACTGGGCCCTAATTATTGTCTGGTCATATTATATGGTTTACTCTAATTTGAACCCCAAGTGATGGTACTAGAGAAATGGAGACTTTGAAGAAGTAATTACCCACTAGAGACCCAGGCACATGGACGTGGACGGGAGTGTTCTGTATCAGTGTGAGGAACAAGTTTGTTCCTTTTTGCCCTTCTGCCTTCAGTCAGACGAGGACACAAGAAAGCACCACCACAGACACAGAGCAGTCCTCACCAGACAGCACATCCGCTGGCGACCCTGCCTCAGACCGAGAAGCCTCCAGAACTCTGATAAGAGAGTTCATGTATTTATATATTTTTATAAATGGCCCAGTCCAAGATATGTTACTGCACTTAGCCATCAACTAAGGCAGCATACCACTATGCAGATAAGAATTTATACCTTACCTTCTTTTGTAATTGGGTACAACTATGTTTTGATCAAACAGCTGAAAGTGGTATAAAATGTGGAAAGCCCACTTTGAAAGAAATGTCAACTTTCTCATGATAGCTTGCTTTGAGATGGGAGTGGCACTTAACACACATTCTCACACTATCACCATTTCAAAACAAAAACATTAATACAGACTAGTTATCAAATTTACAATTATTATTACTATGGTTTTTTTACACTTGTGGATCTTAAATTAACTTGTTCAAGATTTCTCAGTTTAAAAAATTGAGACTGGGCCTCAGGCCTGTGTAATTTACAAGTTCATTCATTAACCACTGAGCTGTAAGGTATCTGAAGATCATTGCAGATCTCCATTCCTTCAGAGCTCAGGGGAAAACAGAATCTTGTTGATGGAGGTGGCAGGATTATCCACACATGCAGCTCCAGATAGAATAATGGCACAATTCACTGAGAAGCCTGGAAAAAGCCACAGTGGACTTGATGTATTATTTGTTTGGCCCATTCTTAATCATCAAGTGGATTTTTAAACCACAAAAGCTTTACATATTTTATCAATGAGTAGTTTTACTTTTAAACAAAATTATACATATACATGAAAACATACAAATTTAATGAAATAAATACCAGGCAATATAGGCTTCTGAAAAAATTTCTTACTTTACTAAGATATACTTACCCAGAATTCTGACATCTCTCCTAAAGATTTCATTATAAAATGTTTGTTCTAAAATATACCAAACTGCATGCACAGTAGTTGTTAGTGTTTCAAGGAATGGATAAACAAACAACAACAAAAACCAGAAAATTAAACACCCCAGAAGAAAATATTTTAAAATCAGAACAGAAAAATAAGAAGACAATACCTTCAACAGAGGGCTGTATTTCTTCTGTTTTTGGAACAAAAACTCTTATTACGCTTGTGTTGATATAAATCAAAGGTAAATTGCGAGAAGTTAGTGTATGGGTCCGCATGGGAAGGCCAGAAGATTTCCTTTTCTCTTTTTGGGTCCTTGGCAGTTTTGTGTGAAATATACTAGCGATGGCATTGAGCAAAGGAAAACAAAGGACAACATCAAAGGCTTGTGCAGAAAGAAGAATTTCATGAAGAAAATGAGGGGAGCCATCTGTTAAACCTTCAGATAATTTATGAAAACATCTTCTCTCATTTCTTGATGTTAACTTGTGGCGGACATTTTTTGTTACAGCTTTTGTATAGGTCAGAGAGAGAAAGCCATGCTGCTGATGAGAGCCATCTAGAAGTTTTGTAGTTGTCTGTTCCAGAAAAAGGAAATCACAAAATAAATTTCATTAAATATAAACCAAAACGGTGCTATTAGAAAACTCAAAATAATTTTAGCATGCTGAATTTTTATTCACTGTTTAAGTCTTAGTAAAAACACATGGCTGATAAATAATGCAGCTACAAAAAGCATCTAAAACTTCAAGAATAACTGAATTGAAGGTAAACACCCGAGTTTTGACACATAAGTAATCTCTTCAAGAGAGGTAGTTAATTCCTTTGTGTCTACGCTCTGATTTTGCTTTATTAATAACATTAAGAACTTGCCCTCCTCCCTTGGGTTAGCACATTAAGGTATCACCTGCAGTGCCAGAAGCCCATATGGGTTCAGGTTGAAGTTTTGACTGGCCCACTTCCAAACCAGCTCCCTGCTATGCACCTGGGAAAGCAGCAGAAGATGGCTCAAGTGCTTGGGCCATTGCCATCTACTTGGGAGACATGGAAGCAGCACCTGGCTCACAGTCCCAGCCACTGTGGCCATTTAAGGAGCAAGCCAGTGGAACGAAAGACGGCCCCTCCTCCTACCCTCTAGCTCTCTAGCTCTAAATCAATAATTTTACCTTTCCCTTTTCATTTCTCTTTTTTGTAATTTCTTGATGATTTTCCAGTATGCCATAACAATATGAATCACAGATGGGTATTTAGATTAAATTTTTAAAAATTACACATATTTGTATTTGGTATTGTTCTGAATATCAGACGACTGCCTTAGAAGACCTAAGTTTTATAAACTGATTTTTCTTTACTGATTGGCCAATTCACATAAGGACAGAGCCTATAAGAAGAGACTGTTGATTTCACACTTTGATACAAGAACTAATGAACTATTCCACTTCACTGGAAATAATGACACAAAATGAAACATTTGTCTTTCAGAGTTCTAAGACTACTCTGTTTTTATAAAACCTCCAGGGCGCAGCAGAAGGGCCTAGTGGCTAAATCCTCCCTTGCCTTACATGTTCCATGGTCCCATGTGAGCACCAGATCATGTACCAGCTGCTCCACTTCTGATCCAGGTCCCTGCTTGAGGCCTGGGAAAGCAGTTGAGGATGGCTCAAAGCCTTGGGAATCTGCGCCCACGTGGGACACCTGGAGGCAGCTCCGGGCTGCTGGCTTTAGATCAGCTCAGCTCCAGCTAATGCAACCACCTGGGAAGTAGGCTGGGGGGAGAGAGGATCTTTCTGTCTCTCCTCTCTGTGGATCTGCCTTTTCAATAAAAATAAATAAATCTTTAAAAAAGCCTACCAACTCTTTGAATGTATTACCAGATGTGTGTATTCACACACACGTATATATACACACATATATATATATACTCAACTAAAACTAAGCTATATATCATTAATAAAACATTAATATTTGTGCTAAGCCTAGCTCAATTAGTCCTCTATTCAAACTGAATACTATAAACAATTTATAATAAAACAATATACTTTTTAAAAACAGTAAGACATATAGTTTTATATTCCTCAATAAGCATGGATACCTCTTGAAAAACATCTTCTGATACTTAAAGTATTTGAAACCCTAACTTGAAAATTACTAAACATCAAATAAGAGTACAACTGACATAGACCTCATTCCCAATACCTGAAAAAATTTTCCAATTATCAGAGAATACAGAGTGAGAGGAAAGTCAAGAGTTATGAGGGAATAAGGAAAGATGAAATTATTTACATTAATAGGAAAAAAGTGAGAAGCTGCAGAGTAGCAATGCGTGTCTGAGCCTATGTGATCCCATAACTCCTACTCACGTGGTTACTTAAAATCCACTGACATAGCAGGAGGGGAAAAAGTATGCAATTCATCCATCAATATCAATTTTGTTTTTAAAACTTTTCAACAAGGATGAGAAAAAGTTTCAGTTTTTTTTCTGAACCGATTTTTTTCTTTTTAAAGAAGGACTTTCAGGGTAAGTATTAAACAGCATCATAATTCTCACTGTTCTTAACTTTCTCATTCTCTGATTGCTTTTCTTTTTACCTTCTTCATTCCAAGCCAACTGGAACAAAGGAAAGCTTCCAGTACTCCAGGGCCATTACCCTGCTGCTCCACAGTAGGCAAGAATGAATGGAGATGAGTGGCTGCAGGGTAACTCCATGCAAGAGGTCAGAACAATGTTGTCTATCCTATGAGCCTAAAGTGAACTTGGGGAAGCAAGGTGGCAGGGACCATTGATATACAGGCAAATTCACACTATTTCTTTATTAGTAATGTCTGAATTCCGGATATAATATGAAAAGTGTTTAAATGTATGAATATTTTGAAAAACATTTTAAAGTACTGAATGCACATACAGGTGAAAAGCACATTACAAAAAAAGGAAGAATTTTTATTAAGATTGTTACGCAGTTAGCTTCTTTAAAGAAAAAAAATGATATCAATTGAAGTTGAGATAATATTTATATATACCTTTAATATGGTAACAATCAATACTTTGTTTATTTAAAATGAAAAGTTAGAAAACACTGACAAAAAAAGAAATTTTAGGAGCCAGTTTATGGTACGAGCATTTCAAATGGGCACTGATTCAAATCTTGCCTGCTCTACTTCTGATCCAGCTCATGCTGATGACCAGGGGAAGGCAGTGGAGGAGGGCCTAAGCGCTTGGGCCCCTGGACCCACGTGGGAGACCTAGAAGCTCCTGGCTTCAGGGTTTGGACTGGCCCAACTCTAGACTGAGCAGCCTTTTGGGGAGTGAACAATGGATGCAAGATGGCTTCATCTCATGTTTTTTCCTCTCTGTGTAATTCTAGCTTTTAAGTAACTAAATGTTTAATAAATTTCAACACAAACTACTTAACTTTAAAATAGAAGATAAAAAGTAAAATCTTAAGTACATTATATTAAATTTTGGTTGTGAAGGGCTACAAATTAAAATGATCAGATTTGTGTCCCAACTGTTCCTCTTCTGATCGAGATGCCTGCTTATGGCCTGGGAAAACAGTGGAGGATGGCCAGTAACCTTAAACCCTTGCAGCCACATGGTAGACTCAGAAGCTACTGGCCATGGTGAACCAGCAAATGGAAAATCTTTGTCTCTCCTTCTCTCTGTAAATATGCCACTTCAATAAAAATAAATAACTCTTTAATTCTTAGACACTAATGGACAAAGGAGATAAAAAGGTCTAAACAGAATTTACAAATATATCTTAGAATCATTTTTCCCCAGTACTAAAGACAGAGTACGCTAGAAAAAGCTAAAATCAAATCAGAATCATGTGCTACAAAAAAAATGAATACAAATGTGGGCCCAGTGCAATAGTAGCCTAGCGTCTAAAGCCCTCACCTTGCACGTGCTGGGATCCCATACGGGTGCTGGTTTATGTCCCAGTTCTCTTCCACATCCCTGTCTGTGGTCTGGGAATGCAGTTGAGGATGGTCCTTTGTCTTGGGACCCTGCACCCATGTGGGAGACCAGGAAGAAACTCCTGGCTTTGGATCTGCTCAGCACTGGTCGTTGCAGCTACTTGGGGAGTGAATTAATGGGTTCATGATTTTGTCTCTGTCTCTCCTCCTCTCTGTATCTCTGTCCAAAATAAATAAATTTTTAAAAAAATGATTGATAATGTATGAATAAAATTAAAGTATTTTTATAAAGATATATTTCTTAAATTTGTTTTGAGTTATAACTATGGAAAATAGTTTACATACAATTAAATTAATATTTAAAGCAGTTGCTCCTCATTTAACTATTTAGTATTTAAATGAAGATGTTGATATTAATATTAATATTTAAATGAAGAGCCATATTATGCTCTTAATATTTAGAAGTATATTTTTGCTGATTTTAAAACAATTACTTAAACTAGTCAGCTAGGTTAAGAAAATATTGAGATGTATTTTAGCATTAAAAATGCAGATTTTTAGACTTCCGTAAAGTCACTAGTAAATAGTTGCGTGTTCATCTTCCATCCAATCACAGAGGTACAGACTTTTCTAGATTTTACAAGGCAAGAAATAAAGTGCTTTGAATTAACTGTTAGAAGACAATGTCACAAAAGGAGAGAAAAAAGCAATCTCAGTAAGAATCATAAAAGTAATGACAAAAGCAGTAATGGGCAACTCTGGATTATCCAATACACACTATTTTAAAAAGTCATCAAATTCAACACCTTACTTTCATTTTTCTCATCTGATTGCAAAATTTGTTTGCATTCACAAACCCGAAGTGACAACAGCATGTGCAAGTTTCCCAGAAACAGTTCAGAGAAGGAAGCCAGTCTGATTTAAAATTACATTCAAGATAATTTATGAAGTGAATGATGCAGAGGACAATCAGAAATGAGAGTTGACTCTAAAGATAGTTAAATGCCTTCTCTGGGTCCTACTAATGGGAGTTCTGCAATTTTGTAGCATAATTTAAAAATGATTTCTTACAGAAGGAAAGAAGCCAGAGCAATTACTGAAAGGGTCCTGCTTGCTGACGGGTCGAACCAACAAGGTGCGTCTGTTCAGCTTGTCGGTACAGGAAAGGAAGACACCTCCACATTGCCCCAAAGACCAACACTCTTCCCCCAGGCTTGAGGTGATGGACAGCAGCAAAGCAGGTAAAAAGACAAAAAGCAATAAAAGCCATAAGCACAAAAAGTCTGGAGAGTTTTAATTCTGCTCAAATTTGCATAGATTTAGGTTTGAGCCAGTGCTATCTATGGCCTCTGCCTAAACCACCTTCTGCAAAAGCATTGCTAATGGAAGTAAACAAAAAGTAATTGCTTTTAGTATAAAATTACTTATTGTTTTTGGTAAAGGACAATCCAGCATGATCTCACAGTGTAAAACAAACTTTCAAAAAGTTCACATAGCACATGAAAAGCAAACAATATTTATGAAAGTATTACTACCTTTTCTTTTTTGATAAATTTATATAATTGCTTTAACAGGGAGATGGTTACAAAACATGAGCAGTTCAAAAGAACAAATAGCTTTTGATTTACAATAAAATTTTGCAGAATTAGGCCAAAAATAATTTATCCTCAGCTCTAAATCCTGTAACCATTACTCCTATTGCATTAGAACACATACATGATTTAAAATATACTTTCAAAAATTATAATTACTAAATGAGTCTCACCACAGGTTTTTCTTTGCACTGTAGAAATACTCCTTCAAAATGTCCTGACTGCCAACCTTCCCCTGGCCTGGAAAACATAAGTTCACCTTATCTGTTCTCTTCATGTTTTCTCAGTTAAAATTTGAGCATATATAACTATTTCAAATAATTCTAAAGTTAACAACACTAAACTGAACTAAAACAGAGATGTGATAATACAATCAGAGTAATTTACATTAGCAACACATCCTGAAAGTTCTCCACTAAAGCATTTGCATATTTATTCATTCATTGGTTATCAACTTCTCATCCAAGAAATTATGAAGGCCTTCAAAAAGTTCATGGAAAAAGGTATTATTTAAAAATGGAGACGATTCTGAAAATCGTATTTGCCAAAACACTCGCAGGTTTTAATTCTAATTTCCCATAAAGTTTTTGAAGCCTTGTTATAGAAACACCATAAGTGTAGCATTTACGTCAATATATAGGAAAGACTTTATTCTAAATGCTTAGCATAATACTTGGAACATAATGAACATTCACCATTCATTTAGAGTAAATGAATGAATGATGTTAGCAATGAAGATGTATACGCACTTAAGAGTGAAATTCAGGATGGTACACCATAGATATTTACTTTACCATGAAATTATTTGGGCTCTAATATTGTGCCTATGTTTCACATGCAGAGATTTTTATGATGGATATTATCTGAAAGGAACTAAAGGGCAAAACATGTAATTATCAAAAGTCAATCAGTAACTCACTATGACAAATCTAATTATCACACTATGGGACAATACTCCTTTTAACAATTCTTAATATATATGCAATAAAATGTGAGGGAACAACACAAAGTTTGTAGAAAACGCATATCAAGAAAAATATGCATGGAATGCAAACTTTTTGCATGAAAATAAATTTATCCTTTAACTGCATTTTCTCACATGTTTTTGAAACACCTGTATTTTTTCACAAATTTGACACAATTTTTTAGCTTTAACAGATGTGACAGCCATTACATAATGTGATACATTCTATAATATATAAATATAATAAAAATATATATGATATAGAATGGATGAAAACACAAATCCCATTGTAGAAAAAGAAAACTTGCTGAAGTTAAAAAAAAAAAAAGATTGGTTTTGGACCTGTAATCCATCAATATATGCACAGAAACACTTATGTGCTTCTGTCGGCAGGCAATAAAAAATTGTTGAATGAATAAATATTATGAATCCAGAAAGGAAAGGATTTCAAGGCTGTTTCTAAGTCAAAATATTATGAAATTGATAATATGATGTCATTTGAAAATATTTTTGAAAAACACTTGTGAGTTTTATGGTGCATGAGCTACGTTTCAATTAAAAAATATCAGAGAAGCAATAAAGTCCAAGCAAGAACATTCGCATTTTTTTTCTGGAAAAAATAGTAACAATATTATTACAGAATTTTGTGAAAATATGCAAAATATTTTACTACTAGTTATTTATCATTACAAGTAATATTTGCAAATAATTATATATATGTCCCAAGGAAATTTACTGGATAAGGGACAAAATGGTTGAGGACACCCACCACATGCATATTAATCATCTGTGAGATAAATAGGTTTTTAAAGTATTTAGGGAGATAAGCTGCTGATCCATATCAGTACTTGCTGTTCGACTGATGGAAGATGTGCCTGGGAAGTACACAGCAAAGCAGAGCCATCACTGTGTGCCAAGCATCCAAGTGAATATACAACCTACATGAACAGCTGTGTGACAGGACTACTACATACAGACTAATTCATTTGCTATGGCGGTGTGAATAGTTAGTGATATGCTACCTTATCAAAACCTTTCATTAAACTGTGTATTAATGAATATAGTACCTTTACAAAACTAGGCAAATCAGAATCAAAACATTCTCATACTTTTTTTTTCAAGAAAATACAGTTTTTCCTACATTCAGTATTCATTATTTACCTGCTTCTATAGTGATCAATATTGAAACTCTCGATTTTACATTTCACTTTAGTATACACATCCTGGACATCTATGGAAGCACTGAGATCTTCCAGTTCACTGACCACACAAACCTCTGCAATAGAAGCAGACATCATCATCATCACAGTTACCCATCACCAAAGCTAAAAAGGTTACATTCTAAAATTTGCATTGGTACATGTATCCTGGATACTGTCACGTGTACTAAACAAAGGCAAGCTTCTTTATTCACATCAAAATTACTACCAATATAAGTATTGCAATTAAAACAATACCTACTTGTAAATCAAAATAGGAAGTCCCATTAAATATCTGAAATGCTAATCTTGTATTAGTCAAGAACTTTTGTAATACTTTTAATTATGATGGCAAAATGTCTCAATGATATAAGGTCTCAATGAGGAAATTTTCTCATCATCTTTGTGATGAACTCTAACCCAACCAAAACAAAATTTAGGTATTTCAACTTCGAACAGATATATAAACAACAATGCAGCATACTAATAGCATTCAACATGTAGGCATGTTAAGATTTAATGGCATTTCCTTAATTATAAGTGCAAATACAATTGAGTCTAATTTGCTTGTAATATAGTGTTCAACATCTGAGCTTTAAAACAGGGAAGAAAAGTAACTTCATACCTGTGCCTTTATTTTCTGGATCTGGAGCAAAGAGCTTGATAGTAATTTTGGGAAGGACCCACTGCATCCATAGACTCACACGTCCACTAGATCCCCCAATGTTACTGGTAGTTTGTTCCAAGGTAACAGAATCTGAGAATGGGGAGTCATCACCTGCTTGTATAGAATCTCCCTAGAGTAAGGGGAAAAATCAGAACTCTGTAATTTAAACGAAAGTAATTGAAAATGTGATTCAAAATTGACATTACTTTAAATTTTTATACAACATATCTAATCACAATTATATAAATACCAATCATAACACATAATGATAACATAAACATATTCTACTCTAATGTTTTCTACAGTTACAAAGTACATAAGCATTATCCTGGTTTCCTCTAAAAGAGTAAGTAAGATCGTGCCTGGCGCAGTGGCCTGGTGGCTAAAGTCCTTGCATTGTACGTGCTGGGATCCCATACGGGCTCCGGTTCTGGTCCTGGCAGCCCCGCTTTCCATCCAGCTCCCTGCTTGTGGCCTGGGAAAGCAGTCGAGGACGGCCCAAAGCCTTGGGACTCTGCACCCATGTGGGAGACTGAAAGAGTCTCCTGGCTCCTGGCTTCGGATTGGCACAGCTGACCGTTGTGGTCATTTGGGGTATGAATCATTGCACACAAGATCTTCCTCTCTGTCTCTCCTCCTTTCTGTTTATCTAACTTTGCAATAAAAATAAATACATCTTTAAAAAAACAAATAAAATATTTTAAAAGTAAGATGCAAAGCACGTCAGTATCACAAGAGAATTCCCTAAAACAATATGCTCTAAGTTACAGTGAAGGGTCAAATATAAACCTTGTTACGATCATGTTTTATTATTTCACAATTACATCTATGTATTTTATTTACTGTTTATCTTGTTTTCAGTATAGTTGAGTGAATGCTACAGAGATTCTTGGTCCAAAAAGGCTAAATTATTTCCTGTCTATCTTTTACAATGAAAATTTACTGTGGCAGGTGTTTGGTACAGCATGTAAGACACAGTGTTATATGTATGATGACATGCCATATAAGTGTGTATGACCACAAGCCATGTAATAATGTCTACATTCAGTTTCCATTTCTGAATCAAACCCCACCTGCCTGCTAACGAGCACCGTCAAAGGCAACAGTAGTGCAAGCTCAAGAACCTGCGTCCTGGCCATCCATGTGGGAGACCTAAGTTGAGTTCTGAACTCCTAGCTTCTGCTGGGTGCAGCCCTGATTGTTGCAGCCATTTGGAAAGGAAACCCACAGACAAAAAGATCCCTATCTGTTCATTTCTCCTTCTCTGCCTAGAAATTAAAAAATTAAAACACAAATCTAGAATAACTTTAGGAAACTGATTAGCACAGTTTTGAAAAAGCACATCATGCTTCATATATATTGACACAGGAGAACATTAAATGATTTAACAATTTTTTTTTAATACAATGTATGGCTAAAAATTCCCCGGTGAAGAGCATTTGGAGTAGCAGTAAAGTTGATGCCTGAGATGCATGAATCCACCCTGAGGTGTCCGGGTTGCAGTCAATGATGGATGAAGTAGTTGGGTCCCTGCAATCTCTTGCAAGACCCAGAATGTATTCTTAGCTCCTGGCTCTGGACTGGCCTAGATTTGTTGTGGAAGGCATTTGAGAGGAGGAAGATATCTGTTTCTGTCTGCATCTTAAGTAAATAAAATGAAAATTTAAATAACCTCTTAGAGAAATGAAGCATGACTGTGATGCTAAGAAAATTGTATGAATAAAGTTTAATAGTTTTTTGTTTGTTTGTCTGTCTGGTTTGGTCTTTTTGGCATCTTTTAGCAACCAAGAGAAAAATACAAGGCAGTGCTGGTGATCAGTCATCAATGTGGTCAGTTTTTAGGATTACATACCAAATGTTAGTTGGTTTTTAAAAAAAGCTTATTTATTTTCATTTACTTGGAAAATGTAGCAGAGACAAAAAAGGAAGAAGGAAGATAGGAATGGGGGCGGGGGGGGGAGGAAAAGGAGAGTAGGGAGAAGAACCAGAGAGAAAGATTGAGACTGAGATTGATTGGTTTTCACTCTGTTGATTCACTTCCCAAATAGTAGCCATACCAGAGCTGGGCCAGGCGGAAGCCAAGAGCTGGAACTGAACCCAGGTCTCCCACATGCATGGCAGGGACCCAAGTACCTGAGCCATCACCTGCTGCCTCCCAGGGTGCGTATTAACAGAAAACTGGCTCAGGAGCAGAGGTGGGGGTCCTATCTGAGGCACCCAGACTTGGGACCTAAGAGTCATAAACAATGGCTTAATTTGTTGTGTCACAATGCCTCTACAAAGTATTTGGGTTTCTAAAAATATCAGTATATCCCGTTGACTTGAAACCTATCAAAAACCAAAATCTAAACAGAAAATCTTGGAAAATAAAGTCATACAGTCTAAGAGCTAGTGAAATACAATGTGACGTGCTTTTGTTTAAAAGCTCTGTGTGTGTGTGTGTATGTAAAGGAAGCTCTTATAAGTTACAAGCCACTCATCTTCAAACTTCGTCATGTCATCAAAGAGTGGCCATAAAATGGAAAGAGTCATCAAAGAAAGACAGAGCCTCTTTGAACAAATCTAGGGGTAAAGCCAAAAAGAAGTGGTCCAATGCAAGGTTGTTTGATAAATATCCCCTATGACAAACTGTTACATAATTCCCCAACTAAAAGTCTAGATCCCCAGCTGTGCTTTCTGAGCTAGGGAAGATGTGTGGTTTTGCAACTGAGACAAGGATTGCATTTTATGCGCTGCTTAGTAGTAAAGTACTTTTCACACTGATATGAAACTACAGATCTCCAATAATTTACATCAGAATTATCAAGCTCATGGAAGCTCCTGGTGAGGACACATGAACAGGCTGAACAAACTGTACATTTGGAAGAACAAAATTTTCTTAGCTCAAAAAGATGTGTGTGTGTATATGTATATATACAAACATACATATTTCAACATTGATCGTATATATATATATGTAATTAAGCTTAGTCTGACAGGTAGTACGTAATATGTAAAAGACGTTGGATATCACCATGTGATTTTAGGAAGGTCTTTTCTCAGAGTCTGTTATCCCCTGTGTAAAATGGTTACTAAAATGGCATTTACTTCTTAGGGTTAAAATGAAGCAAGAACATGCACATAAAGTGTTTACATGTGGCAAATACTTCATAAGTGATGCACATAATTATCCAAATGAAGTTTAACCAACTGCACACCTGCACACTTAATAGACCCAGATATCTGTCTTCCCTTTCTCATTTTGTCATTCTCATACAATGAAACACATTTCTATATGATAAACATTTTCAACCATCCAACAGTTTATTCCTGCTCTGAATGCAAACAATGTCACTTCCTTATGCTAAGCAGTTATGACCAGTTGTCAACAGCTAGAACAAAACTCCTACCTCTTACCCGCAAACAAAACTTAGGACAAGACAACATCACAGCCAAATGCTGTTCTCTTTAGATAGCCTCTCACAGCATAAGGCACTTATCGAAGTTAAGTAAGTCATTAGCCCAACACAAAATCAAGAAAGGTAAACCAACATCCCCATTTGTGTTCCTACGTACATGTCACTTAGACAAGGTTATATTCAGTTTCTATTTGAAGGCTTTATCTTGATTTCAGTGTTTTACAACATCTCAGACAGAAAAAAATTCAACCCCCTGAATCTAAGGAGGGAGAAAAGACCAAATAGGGAAGATTCAAAACAACTGCCAAGTGTTTACTATAGGAATATGTGGGCTCAAAGCACAATAACGCAATAGCACCCTGGGGTTCAGTGCGACAGAAAATTATAAGGTTAAACCTGAAGACAGCAGTTCCATTTACATCAAGTGAAGTAAATGTCAATAGGTCACTGGAGAGTGTTCATATAAATTATTCTCTCCAAAGCAAGTAATACTAAATTTGCTGGGATTAATATTCTTGAGTTTGAAATGCTATAAAAAGATCAGGTTTTTGATCATCTTCTAACATTCCAATAAATATGGCAAGCACAAACTAACTCCAGGAAAGGATTTTTTAAAATACACTTAGATAAAAGTTTCATGGTACCTGTATGACTTTTTTTATGGTCAGCTTCTTAGACAAGAACCAGGCATAAGTTAAATCCTCCCTGCAATCTTTAGAAATGATCACATCCTGACACTTGAAAATTGCAGAGAAAGAGCCCTTCCAATCAGGGAGACCTCAATTTTTAATGCTACTGAGTATATTTGACTGAGAATGCTACAAAAACAGCTTGCAAATGTAAGCACTCCTGAGGAAAAGCTTTACTCCTCATCTAGTTTCAGCTTTCATTTTGGATTTGGTGTGGTATTGCTAAACATGTTTATGCATTAATTTTCTGCTCTGTTTCCAGATCTAGAAAAATCAGGCCAGAAATGAAAATGTTCAACTATTCTCCCACACAACCTTGGGCCAAGTTCTAAAATAAACAGTTCAATTCTTTCACTATTTTATTGCAAATTGACTGAAATACTGAGTTTATTTTCTTAGGTGAATCTATCTTTATTCATCTGCAAGAGCAGACACTTCAATATTTCCTCTTTGGCCTACATCACAGCTCAGGGATGATCAGTTTTACCTACAATGCTACTCCCTTTCCTCGAAACAAACAGTGTTTTGTTCAATCACAAAAGTTCCCACAGGGCCAAGCACTTCCAGCACTGTGTGCACGTGGGTCAACAGTAACAGGGACTGTTGTGGTCCCTACTACCCTGGCTTTTCTATTTCAGTATGGGGGGGAAACATTACAGGACTTAACTCTTTCACTTGCCATCCTATTCAACTCCCATTTCCCAGACTGAAATATAAGAACCAGAGCTACATTCACACAAGAATACAGAGGTTTCTACTAATAGGATAGCAGTTAAACATTCATAAGGTATAAAACAGCCAAAGATCATATAAATAAACATTCCTATACCAGTCAATATGAAGAGCTGTTAAAAGGCATTTCTGAAAACTAGACTCATGGGCCCAGCTCAGTAACCTAGTGGCTAAGCTTCTCACCTTGCACATAATGGGATCCCATTTGGGTGCTGATTTGTATCCTGGATGGCTCACTTCCCATCCAGCTCCCTGCTTGTGGCCTGGGAAAGCAGGGTGGCACCTTTATCCTTGGTCATTATATCTCTCAGTGTCTCAACTAAATTAATAAATAAATAATTTGAAAAATAAAATGAAAATGGAGGGATGGATCACAAACATGCCACAACATCTATACACAATGGAGATGGGAATTAATATTCCCATTGTATAGATGTTAAAGCATGGAGATTAAATAATGAGATCACCAGTTGCAGAGATGGAAAGATGAACTATCAATTCCAATCTGCCTTTTTTCATTAACATGAGTTAATGAAAATCACAACATGAGTTGGTCCTAATATTGCGTGATTATAGTGAATCTTCAAATCATTATGCTTCATTTTTTTAGCACACAAAATTAAAACTGTGGTCTTAAGTCTCACTTTGATGAAATCTTTCAACAACACAGCTATTATTAACAGAAGAGAAAGATCACTGTTTACTTATGAAGTTCACTTAAGGGATTATGCCAAAAAAAAAAAAGAGAAAACAAATGATTAGGGCCGAGAGAAGAGCCTGTAACAAAGAACAGGAAAGTAGCAAACAACACTTAATTTTCCCCACAAGGAAAAATAATGCACATTAGGGAAAATGAATTAGTAATATTCTATTTTTGTTTCAATGGTTGTTATTGATACTATGGTTTTCCCTTTTTCCCCTTGGTATACACATTTTTTTTTTTTGCCAAAACTTTGAAATATACCTGAATACATTCAGGGATAACATCAAGTGCTACTACAGTTTTAGACAACAATCCACAATAGAACTAAGCAGATCACACTGAGATAAAAGAAACATATTCTTCTAAATTTAAAAAAAACAATACTAAATCAAACACCAATAAAGTGCTTAGATTCACCTCCTTCACTGCTCCCCACTCTTGATCAGCATTTTAAATTCAAACAGTTTAGTTATAAACTTACATTCAAAAGATAGAGTAAAAATAATATTGTGGTAATACATTAGTTTTCAAAAGATACGCAAACATAAGCTTCATAAGATGCACATAATTTGTCCAGGGAGAATCTATTTAAACATTAATCAGTGTCTGAACATCAATGCTCTAAGTAGCTTCATACACAATTGTCAAAATATCTGGCAACAGTTCAAAAACAGATGCAGTATCTACTTATATGCAGTATCATGCATAAAAAAATTCTAAAACACTATATGACAGGGATGGTTCTTAGAAACATCATAGTGAGTGGTAATTTATGGAGCTTTTTATTAAAATTCTTTCCAATTTCAAATATTCATCATATTGGTCACATTAGATCCACAGCTAACACAAAACAACAAATCTACTATGAGCATTTTTGTGATTTATATTTATAGCACCCACTCCAAATTTTCAACATTTGAATTTCCAATGAATTACAATGTTGAAAGGAACTTAGTGAAATCAGAATTCATTAATAGACTGAACAAAATTTATCCTTTTGCAGTCTGTGCAATTCACACCATTCTCACTTTAGCTTACAATGGACACCACTCTTAAGAGCGTCTGTCACATTTACTACAATCTTATGAAAACAAAATTATTAACCACGCTTTACTCATATTCTAAGATTCACTTCAAATTTCCTTCCTTTTACAAAATACCCACAGATCTCACAGAATGAATCTGTTTATCTTTCCTCTGAAAACATAAAAAGTTTATTCCTATTATCCCTCACAAAGGCTACCATGTCCTTTTGCATAGGAAGTAAACTACAGAATTTTAGGGTGTGCCACTAACATTATCCCCCATGGGATAGCCACTTCCCAGATGTATGCCCAACACCTATGACCATTCCACAGGGTCCTTAGCTTTCTCAGACTTGTAATGTTTTGCAAATGTCTGTTTAAAAAAAAAAATACCTTTCAAAGTAGAAAGTTGTGCTTGCCTTGACACCCTCAACACAGTACTTAGCAAACACATGTTTAATGGAACACTCCGATTTCTGCCACTGGAATGGTTCTAAATTGAGCTGTATTTGTAAAATTTCAATTCTACTACCCCTGGCTAGGAATTTCTTAACTTCAAGTTTTCACTACTGTCCCAAAGTATTTCACAAAGTATATTTCATACAGTTTTAGTAAGTGGATTGTGAACACTGGAGGTCTTAGTTGAATATATTTACAAATTGCTGTATTCCATAAAGCTAAATAGTTTTCTTCTCAAAGCTTTCATATCCTAATAACATTGGGGCTATCCAAGAAACAATCTTTAACTTAAAAACACTGCTTTAATGTAAGAACATATCCCATTCATAATGACTCATTTCTAGATTCTCAACCTTTTTTTCATTTGGAAAAAGAAGCAAAAGCACACCAAAACTTAGGTTACTCAATTACGATTTGGAATGAAGTTAGAGAAGTTGCTAATGCAAGCAGCTAAACAAATCTACTCCAATGTGCTTAACAGTCTAATTTTGGTTTGCATTTACTAAGTTAAAACACCAGAGAAATAAACACCTCCTCTCTTCGGATTCTTTCCCCATTCTGTATTTTGTCCAATGGTTTTGTATCTAGAGGAAAAAGTGTCTAACTGCAGAAAACAACAACAACAGCAAAAAACAAAACACAACTTCTGCCTAATTTACCACTGAAGATTAGTGGTAGGTGAGCAGGAAGTTGCATCAAAAGCCGAGTGCCCAGGAGACTTTTGTGTTTCCTTTTTGTCACTCATGCGTTGGTTACTCAATGGAGCTGTTTTTCATGGTGCTGTAATTTGTTGTTGATGTTGTTGTTGTTGTTCTAACTTCTACCAGTTGTTGACCTGGTTTCATGGCTTCCCACTTATGGAAATGTATAGTGATGGAGTACTGGGGTCTGTCATATACAGATGTGGGGGAATAATGAAACATGCATCCCTGCTTTCAGACAAAAGATAGGTTCCCAATGAAAATGTTGGACATGTGTAGACAATTGGATGCTGGACTGCCTGACATTGTCTGTACCAACAATGTCAGAGTACACTTAAATAAGAGACTAATATAATTATGATTCCTTATGAAGGACTACACTATTGTAGTAAAATGGGAAAAATTTATTGGGGGGTGGAGTTTCAGGGGGAATCCCAGCCTATACAAAACTGTACCACATAATTCAGAATTCAAAATAAAAATATACTAAAAAAAAAAAAAAGGCAGAATGCCCAGAAATCCAATGGCTGCAGCGCAAGTGGTGGCTTAGCCTTGCTGCACCACAAAGCCTACCCCAAAGGTTTTTCTTTCTTTTCTTTCCTTTTTGTTTCTTATGATTTCAACAATTATCAGATCCAGAAACCAACTGTTGGACTGAAATGGAAGACTAACAGCATTTTTTTGAAATTCCATTAAGAGTTTGCACTAATAGAAAAGAACGGACTCAACAGCAATATGCTATTTAGCATTTGCTCTTTTGTACAAACCTGGACAAGCCTATTCACAGGCGTGACATTCAGAGTAACTACACGAACCTGACTATGCCACTATAGCTGCTAATGTGCATAAGCCAAATCAATTACAGAATGAAAAACAATTACACCCTAAATGACTTATCGTTTATATTGTATTTAAACTGTTGAGGTTAGAACGTGGCACAACATTTAAGATTTCAATTGGGGAACCTGAATACTTAGACTGCAGTGCCTGGGTTCACTTCAAATTCTAGCTTCTGCTACATGGGTGGACCTGATGAAGTTCTAGGCTGCTGACTTCAGTTTGGCTCAACCTAGCTCTGCATATTTGGGGCTGGCGCAACATCATAGCTGGCTAATCCTCCTGCAGCACCAGTGTAACATACAGGCACTGGTTCCTGCCCCTGTTATCCCATTTGTCTGTAGCCCCTGCTTTATCAGTGGGGAGAGCAGAGGAAGACAGCCTGAGTTGCTAGCTTGTAGCTTTGAAACAGCTCAGCTTGGGCCACTGCAGCCATCTGGGGAGTGAACCAGTGGATACAGCACCTCTCTCTCTGACTCTGTCTCTGAATCTGTCTTGCGAATAATATAAATAAATCTTTTAAAAATACATTTTTAAATTACAAATACATGTTAGCTAAACTATTTTTATTTAGCTCTAGTAAAGAGGACACTAGGAAGCATTTGTTTGCTAAAGTGGCACCAGAATACTGGGCAAAGTTGAGTCAGGGTAGAAAACAAGGAGTGTGCTGTGTGTCAAACTGATAAGGACTACTGTTAACTAAATGGGATAGCAGGACCCAGGTTCAAAAAGGAGAGGCAAAGAGGTAAGGAAAGGAGGAATATCAATCTCTTTTTCATTCACTTTACATATTTCATACCTGTAAAGAAACATAACCTTAACCAGGTCTCAGTTTCTAGTAAGGCACAGAGCTGTACCATCCTGAACTACTACAACCTACTCAGAGTGAAAAAAGATACCTATGGGCCAGTGTCATGGCATATCAACTTAAGCCATCACCTGTGATGTCAGCACTCTATTTGAGGGCCAGATTACAACCTGGCTGCTCTACTTCCCATCCAGCTCTTTGCTGGAAGAAGTTCCTGGCTCCTGGCTTCAGATTGGCTCAGTTCTGGCCACTGTGGTCACTTGGGGAGTGGATAAGCAGATGGAAGGTTTTTCTCTCTGTCTCTCCTCCTCTTTGTATTTCTGAATTTTCAATTAAAAAATAAACAAAATAAACAATTTTAAAAATATCTAAAATAAAAAATATATATATCTAAAATAAGAATGGTAACACACAGTCACTCCCAGCACAGCTCTTCTGTGAGTCTTTGGGATCTGTTAGCTTCCACAGTGGTGAGGTCATCTTCATTCGCAGTCATGATGAGGACTCTGTGTTGTGTATATATCACCCATCTCTTGGTAACAAAACTTTTCAGAAACACTTACCTCAGTAGTAGTCCCAATGTCGGCAGATGGGCTGCACGTGCTGGTATCCGGAGGAGCTGTGCCTACACTGCTTCTAACTGGAGAACTGGGGACAGGCCCCACCATGGTCTCAGTGTAGGCTGAAGATGGAGTGAGATTACCTCTCTTCTGAATCTTATTCCAGACCTTACTCATGGTATCAGTTAGTTCACAGAAGAGCTGGACCTGTCCAAAAGAACAAAAAAAGTAGAGGAGGGAGAATAAACTTCTAGTCACAACCCAGTGAAACACTAAATATAAAAAAATAAACTTGTTCATAAAAGACCTAATATTTCACTGATTACTTATTCAAACTTCCAATTTGCCTCCCTTTTATGCTTGCTATTTTACAATCAAACCAGCTTTTTTTGTGGGTTAAAACCATTGTAATATAACTTAAATGCATCTACATAGAAAGCAATATCAAAATTTAAAAAATATAAATATCCTATTAAATGTGCTTATTTGCTGGAATGAAATAACTGTCACCCTTACAAATGAATCATTTCCACAACTAAATTTTCTCTATTTTGCTGAATAACAATTTTGAAATTGAGTTTCTTTTCAGTAAAACAAATAGAAAAAGAATGATACAACAGAATAGTAAAAGTAAACTCTTACATATGAGACTTGTATAGATAAAGAACATAACCAATCTACTATTCCCTTGGGATATGTCATTCCAATATTTAGGGGAAAAACTGTTTAACTTGCACATTGTTTGACTGAGTTCTAAGATATTTACATAAGAGTTCATAAATAAGCATTAATCATGGAATGTGTATGACAACTTATTGCCATATACTGTATGAAACAAGCCCAAGGAAAAAAACGCAAACACAATATATAAGCAAATCCACAGCTGGATACCATACTTTGCTTGCCATACAAAAAAAGAAATAAAGTAAAATTCTTATATTTATAAAACGTTTCAGCCCCAGGACACTCCAGATGATGGAGCTGGCTTCTTATGTGGGCAGAACAGATGCATAAAAACACTGCCATCCATTCTTACTTGATGGAAAGCAGTACTTGAATGTGCAGTTTTCTCCTGAATTTTTGTGTAATAAACTCTCAAATCTTAGAGAATCCAGCTAATCTTGCTTAAAAATAATCAAATGGCTAGATAACAACAATTACTTAATTTTAGTTCCAGTTTGCAATTCAAAATTATGAAGAAACTTCTCTCTATAAACCAAATGTCTGAAGGTTATCTTGCTTTTTCTTAAACAATTAGAACTGACAAATAAAATAGTGTAAGCCAAAGGAAACAGATTGCATATACTTTTAAGGGCTTAAAGCTTACATACTTAAAAATGATGATATTTTTATTATCAGTACTTATGATTCCTTTAACCCCTAAACCATTACATTTTAAAATAGATATTATTAAAAACTACATGAATGCCAACAAAAACATTACCTTAACGGTTTAACATTTACTAAAGTGTAATAAAATAAACCTTAAATATTTTAATTCAGAGAATTAAAGAATGCATTTTTCTAAATTTCAAAAGAAACAAGGGAAAAAATTTTGAGGATAAATGTTCAACTTTCATTATTCAGTTTATACTGAAATATTATAGCAAACAAACAACTTAAGTAGGTATAGTTCATGCTAACATGTTTTACTGTAACTGTAGGATGGAAGCGCCACAAACATTGTTAAAAACAATCCCCCAACTTTCACTCTTCGGTGTGTCTATAGCTAAAGAGTTTTCAGTTTTATACAGACAGGATGCTACCAAGACGCTCACAAGGAAGCCTACAGAATCATCTGAAACAAGTCCTGTTCTTCCAACAAGCGGTCTGAAATTTGTAGAGATGAAGAGGAAAACAAGTCATTTTTGCTTGATTTTAAATTTGAGTTAGTTTTCTTTACAACGAGAAGACGTGACTTTTCTGATCTCTATACAGTCTTATGAGAAGATACTGATCAAGTCCAGGTTCATTTGCCAAGGGTCATTCAGCATTTTTGTGTGATATTTTCAAGAATTGCCATTTATAGATGCTTTTCAGCAGTTGGTTTACATTACAGACAGACATGGTTTTCTTTGTTTGTTGGTTTTATTCATCCTTGTTTCCCTCAGGTGTTACATGTAGAACTCAGTTAAGTATATGCTGAATTCATTTGGGAACCAAAAATCAAGTTATCGTATGGAATTTTGACAGAATACAGAGCACTTTGGAAACATAAGCTTTTTGCACGAGGTGCTCTCAAGTCTTATCATTAAAGTTGAGGCTGATCTGTCACATGAGAATATTCAAGAGTACAAACCCCTCATCAAATCTTTCAGAACACACTGGCTTTCCAGTGTCATTTTGTGGTTTCACCTCTCTTCAAAAATGTTAACATCCCACTAGGGAAATTTACACCAATTTGTGAAGAGAGGTTTACATTTTAAACAGGGTCAACCCAAACTAACAATAAGAGATTCACAGAACACTTTAGAATTTACAGCACAGAATGATAAATATCTCTCTCGGACTTCCTGAACAACCCTGCTACTTTTGGAAGGCAGGGAGTTGGACTAAGGAGTGCCCCTCCAAGCAGCCAGATGAGGAAGTTAAAAGGGAATGAACAGACAGAGATAGGAAAGATTAAGACCAAAGTAATGCTTTACAGTTAACAAGACAAGCTGGGTTTAGTTCTAACGAAAAAAAAAAAAAGGTGAGTACTTAAACATACATTGTCATACCAACACATTTGACATCAAAAGAATTACAAAAGTATTGAGTCTAACAAAAAAATCCAAAGATCATGAACAGTGGAGTCTAAGAAAGAAATCACCATGTGTTCAAAACTGTTAATCTGTTCAGACTATTTGAGTAACTGAAGTAAATAATGGCTGAATAAATAGCTAAATAAATAAATAACTGGAGTAAATAATAGATCAGATAGTTTGAATTTTTAGAATTGTATTTTTCATGATATAGTTCGATAGGCTCAGGGATTTTCCCTGCCACCCTCCACATTCCTCCTCCTCCTCACGGCTTTATATTGAGACTGAATTACGTATAAATAAAAACTGAGTACAAAAGGAAAATCTACTGTCTCCAAAGTTGTTCTTGTAATATTTCATCTTGGTCTTTTTCTTACACAAACACAAACACACATTTTAATTACATTCAAATGAAGAGCTACAGAGAGAGAGAGAGGATGAGTGAAATCTTTATTAGTTACTAGCTTCCCAAATGCCCGCCACACACTGTGTTAGGCCATTAGGCCAGACTCATGCTAAGAGTCAGGAATTCCATTCAGGTCTCTGCAATTTAGTTACAACTACGATGCTTTTTTTTTTTTTTAAGATTTATTTATTTTTATTGTAAAGTCCAATATACAGAGAGGAGGAGAGACAGAGAGGAAGATCTTCGTTCAATGATTCACTCCCCAAGTGAACCAAAATGGCCAGTGCTGCGCCGATCCACAGCCAGGAGCCAGGAAACTCATCCAGGTCTCACAAGCGGGTGCAGGGTCCCAAGGCTTTGAGCCGTCCTCAACTGCTTTCCCAGGCCACAAGCAGGGAGCTGGATGGGAAGTGGAGCTGCCGGGATTAGAACCAGAACCCATATAGGATCACATTCAAGACAAGGACTTTAGCTGCTAGGCTACCATGCTGGGCCCGTACTACGAATCTTCTTGCATCCTGTTACTATACAGCAGCTTGCATACTATCATTTTATATAAATTGAATTATGCAGTAAGTGCTTCTTGCTTGGCTTCTTTAAGTCACCATGATTGTGATAATCATCAATAATAATGATAATATGGTTGACAAATATGACACTGTATGAACAGGCCATTCTTATTTTTTACTATTTTACCTAATAACAAACACTCGGGGTGAGTACTCACCTTTTGGTATATAGAAAAGCTACTACAGCCATCTGTATAAAAAATTGTTGAGAGCAATACACTTTTGCTTTTTGGAGGAAACAAGCTGCAGTAGATGGTGAGGTTTTTTAGAAATCGTCAAGCTGTTACCAAAATTCATGTATCATTTTTACATTCCCATCAGTCACGTACATGACTCTCCCACTCCAGGATGAGATCTTGTCCTTTTCAGCTCTGAAAGTAAGCTGAGTGTCCCAAATTGGTTTCTGTACATGAAATTGGGAATACCTGTTTGCCTGGCTAAAGTTGTTCACTGCTAGACAGAATATAGCTATTACTGATTGGATAGCTGAGAGTGTACAATGTGCAAACAAATTGGGTGTCTGTTTCTTGCCCGTACAATTATTTGTATTGGGTTCTTTTAAGATTTATTTATTTTCATTGGAAAGTGAGATACATAGAGAAGAGAAGAGACAGAGAGGAAGATCTTCCATCCATTCGGCTCCCCAAATGGCCGTAACAGCCAGAACTGAGCCCATTTGAAGCCAGGAGCCTCTTTTGGGTCTCCCACATGAGTGCAAGGTCCCAAGACTTGGGCCGTCCTCTACTGCTTTCCCAGGCCACAAGCAGGGACCTGGATGGGAAACGGGGCTGCAGGGATTAGAACCAGCACCCTTTTGGGATCTCAGAGCATGCAAGGTGAGTACTTTAGCTGCTCTGTATTGGGTTCTGATGTAAGGCTCTGTATTGGGTTCTGATATAAGCTTGGCTGCTTTGAATGATTAAACAATTACTTAGTTGATTGCATGATTTTTGCTTATTTTCTTATGAATTGCTTTTTAAACAATTTCTATGATAAAAGATCTAACAAAGTTGAATTTGCTCATTTCTTTAAACTTTACAACAAAGTATTTTAAATGGTGGCTTACAATGACAGAAATTTATTGCCTCAGATATCTAAAGGCCAGAATTCCCAAAGTATTATGAAAACCATATCCTCTGCGACCAAGCAGAATTATTCCTTACTTCCTTTATGAGCCACAATCAGAATTCATCATCAATTCAATCTCTGCTTCCATGACCACATGATACTTGCCAAATGTGTCTTCACATCATCTTTTGGATGTGTCAGGTTTCCCTTCTTGTCAGGATAGCAGTTACATGGGATTATGGTTCACCCTAAAGACCTCATTTTAACTTGATTATCTGCATAACAAACCTATTACCAAACAAGACCTCTTTCTGTGGTACAAGTGGGTAAAAGAGTTCAATGTATCTTTTTGCAGAGGCACAATTCAAGCCATAACAGTTTCATTTCCTCTTGGAAAAATGTTTATGAACAATTTTTCTCTTCTATGAGTACATTACTACTGGTCATAAAAGAATGGTAAGTGACCATTACATTATAATATTTAGTATCATTCAAGAGTGTTTGTCATGCATAGTTTAAAAAGTTCAATAGAGGAAGAGATCTTAACATTTTGGTATTGTCTTGTTATAATTCTGATTATGGATATTTTATAATAGGGTATGCATCAAAATATTAGGAGGCCAAATCTTGTGAAACTATACAAATGCATACATATATACATATACACACATATACACCATATATAACATGTTATTATATCCTATATTATAATATACCATATATATGTATAATATATCCTATTATAATCCAGGATATATTGCACCATATATATAATAACATGTTGTTTTATTATATCCTATTATATCATATAATATATATATTATATATAATGTAGTAATACATGATATAGTAATGTATTATACAGCTTATAATATATGGAATATGACATAATATATAGTATATAATATGCTGGATATAATACATAGTAACTTAAGCCATATATAATAACATGTTATTTATATTATTTATCTACATAAAACTTAAGCCAAACTCCATAATATGTGATAGGAGAAGGCAGGAGAAAAGCAGAAGGGAGAGGACGATCATCAGTAAGGAAGCTCTGCACAATATGCAACGACATTTGAGCGTACTTCGAAAAATGTAGGCAAGTATTAATTTGTGTAAATCCGGGTGATATAAATTGACAAAATGCAAAACTGAATACCACAATGCAATGCACCTAGGACAAATGAGATTTCTAAAGTCAACAAAGCATTAAAAAGTGCTATTTTCTTTTGAAAAGCCTTGCATGATGATTAAGGCAGTGCTAAGAAGCCTGATTAAAACTTAAAATGATCACTTCAATATACTCTTTTAGTCAGGAAGTAAAATAGTTGTTTAGTATTTAAAAGCACTACATCTGCAACTGATTTCATTTCTTCAACCAAAAGATGTATTTATGCTGCCACTATGTCACTTTCAAATGAGATTAAATTACAAAACTTGATAGCCTCAAAGTAATTATTAATCTAACCACCCTGAACTTGACAGCCCAGTTTTTAAAAAATGCTAAGATACTTAATAGAACTCTTTCAGCAAAATGGAAAACGATTCTTTTTACAATTACATTTCTTTAAATTTCCTTTCATAAATCAAATGTACCAACCTGGGGATTAGAGCATTTAATCTCCAATGACTCTAGGTCAACATGCAGACAGACAACAAATGAATGTCTAGCGTCAGGTCCCGTAGCCAGGAGTTTCTGAGAGGTGACAGCAAGGGTAGAGGTGCACCCCATAGGTTCCACTAAAGAAAGTGTCACTTGCTTTCCAAGGAGGGTATATATGCTAAAATGGTGCAGGTTGATGGTCCAAGGAAAAGCATCACCTGATAAAAGAATTGGGAAGAACAAGCACAAAATAGTTTGTAGTAAACTGTCTACTTTTATGCTACAAATACAACCTACTCAATACAATATATTTAAAAGTTAATTCGGTATACCACAAACTAAACTGCTCAGCAAATCACATGCCACTTAAGTCACTTTTTAAACTGTTCATACTTATAAAAAACTACATTACCAATTATGTACATTATACTTATGAATAGAAATTAAAGAAAAGGATAAAACCGTAAAAAGAAGATCTAACTTCTCTTCTTTAACTGGTGGTACTACGTAACTGTAGGACATATAGGTACTATACTTTGGAGACAAGAGAAAATGGATTCAATTATAACATGCAATAACTATTGTGTGAATTACAGATGACTATAAATCTGCCTGTGCAATAACTGGAGAAAAGAATAAACAATTTACAATGGTGAGCTGGACCAGAATTAAAGGGTGTGCTGCTTAAAACGAGAGGTTTATTGCAGGTCTACTCGATCAGACTCTCCAGTGGTAAGATTCAGGCTGCATTTCAATATGCTGATTGTATATTCTTCAAATCAGTCAGGCCTAAGCAATATTTTAATTAAAATATAGCATATGTAAATTTTACAATTAAAAGAAATGAAATGAAAAAATTTTACAACAAAAATTATAAAGAACTAAGAATCACAGAGAACACAAAAAATGTTAAGCATTTCATGCTTATGGCTTAGAGGAAAAATAATTAGCTATCCAAAAATGATTAACATGTTGAACTCAATCCCAACCAAAATACATACAACATAGAACTCACAAAACCAGAAAAGCAATCCTAAAATTGATGCAGAACATGGTCCAGAATTAGAAAGATGCTGAGCAAAAATAATACATATGTACAGACACATAGTTAGAGATTTTAAAATATCAACCTTCAAGGCAAATCATACTATAAAGGTAGAGTAACTGCAATAGCATGGCATTAGTATACAAACTGACATATAGATCAATAGAACAGAACAGAACCAAAAATTAATCCATGTAGAAAATAAGCCAGTTGACTTGTAACACATGTGGCATGAACATGCAACAGGGAAAGAGTCTCTTGATGAATGGTGTGGCAATCAGACGTGCTGCAAATATGTTTCACCAAACACAGTTTTGCATCTTTGTCAAACAAGAATTATACACATTGTGGCTTAGTGCATTAAGCCACTGACTGCACTGCAGGCATCCCTTATGGGCAACAGTTTGAGAACCTGCTGCAAAATTTTGAATCCTGTTCAGTGCTAACGTACTTGGGAAAGAGTACAGGATGGACCAAGTCCTTGGGCCCTTCTGCTCAGATGAAAGAAATCAAGTTCCTGGTTCCACTGTGGCCATCTAGGGAATGAAGCAGCGAAGAGAAAACTTTTGTCTCTATTCCCTTTTAACTCCGCCTTCCAAATAAATAAAACAAATCTCAAAAAAAAGATTTATATACTACTGCAGTTTCAATGATCTGTAAGAATTCTAAAAGTTAGTTTTTAAGTGAATTTGAAAATTTTCTGATTTTGTTTACTGCCTATTTTCTAGCTCCACTTAAGGTCTTTCTCGTTTGTATTTGCTGAACTCTTATTTAGTAATTCAACCAGCCCCTGACTAAAATGTAAATTAAAAATGTTACCTTACAAAGGAAAAGGAAAAAAGTGTTATAAAATTTAATATAAGTATAAAAATTAAAGTAGATTGCTCCTTCTCATATGCATAGAAATAAACTCAGTAGGAATCAAGTAACTAAATGTAAGACCAGAAATTTCTAGAAGAAAGTGAAAGTGAAATGCTTCAGGAGTGCCGGGGGTGGTTACATACTGCACAGGGACTATGTAAGGACCAGAAGATGATCTGGTCTGGACCGTCAAGGCAACCTCAGGCAAGACTGAAAATTCAGCTGATAGCAGTATATATTTTTTCAGATTGTATTTTGTATGGAGAATTACACATTTAAATATGTGCATATTTCTTAAAACATTCTATAAATATAAAAAGAACAGGTTTTATGCATTCCATAAATATAACTCCAAGAAGATAATCACACTTCAGCTACACTGGCATCCTACATTCCCCCTCTTCATCAGTCTTTGAAAAAAAATTTTTTAACTAACTCTATACCAACGGCCTTAATTTGAAACTAACCAAAACATTCAACAGCAGTAACCATAACAATAACAACAACAAAAATAGGAAGACTACAGTTTCACAGGACTGTATCAGGCAACAATATCTTCAATAAGACTCCAAACACAAAGGCATCAAAAATAAAAGGCAGACAGATTACAGCCAAAGGAGAAGCTTCTGTAGAATAGTCAACAGTGTCAAGAGAGAACTGTAAGAGTGGCCGAAAATATCTGCAAACTTTTCATCTGACAAAAGGTTAATACTGAAAACATGTAACAACAACAACAAAAAAATAGAAATGCTGCACATCAAGTAAAGAATCTAGCGGGGAGAGAGAGAGAATGAACAGAACTCATAAAAAAATCACAAAGGATGCATAGACATATTTAAAAATGTTGGGTGACATTAGACATCAGGGAAAACAAATTAAGAACCACCTTATTTATTTCCTATTATTTTTAAAAGATGCATTTGCTTATTTTGAGGATTTTAGAAAGGGAAAGAGACACAGAAAATTTTTCTATTCCATACTTCACTCCACAAATAGCTACAGTGGCCAGCACTGGGCTAGGCTGAATCCAAGAGCTTAATCTGGGTCTTTCATAATGGTGGTTGGGGCCAACCACTTGGACCATCATCAGCAAATTGCTTCTCCCAGGACATGAGAAAGGTGCTGGATCAGAAGTGGAACAATCAATTTATACCAACATCCAAATGAGATGCCAGTGGTTTCAGTTGGTTTTAACATATAAACCACAGCGTAGGCCCTACCTTTATTTCATTAAGAATGGCTAATTTACAAAAAAGGAACATATGCTGGGAAGGATGTAGAGAATGGGAAACTCTTCTTTGTTACTGGTAGGAATGTATATAGGTACACCAGGCAGAACAATATGGAGATTCTTGAAGAACTGCCACTTGATCCAACATTCCCACAACTATATATATAGCCAAAAGAATATGAAATCACTCTGTCAAAGAGAAGCCCGCAATCACCATGTTCACTGCAGCACTATTTAGAATTGCCAAGACATAGAGTCAACCAAATTCTGTATCAGAGGACTAACAAAGAAAACATAATACATACACACAATTGAATATTATTCAACCATAAGATGTTGCCATTTTTAGCAAAATGGATGAATTGAAAGATATTATGCCTTTTAAAATAAGAAACATAAAGACAAATAGTGTTCATTATTCCTTACATAGAAATAAAAGCATATGGAATAAAGGCAATATGTACATAGAAGATTAATTACTAAACTAGGAAACTTGGGGGGGGGGATAAAGGACAGTGGGATAACTAATACCAAATCAGAGTTGGACGGATAAATCCCAGGAATTGCACAGCATAGTAGGCTGGTTATAGTTAACAAGAGCTCAATACTGGTTTCCTTAGTGAGTGAAAGAGCAAAACCTCAGCACTGTAATCATAAAGTATTCACAAAGGTCCAAATGTGGATTGCCATGATTCGATCAGTACATACAACACAAGTTTTTCCATGAACTTTTTTTGTGCCTTAATGATTAAGGTCAGACTTGCTGAGTACAACTAGAAAGAAAATCATTGCAAGAACAAACAATACATATAAACCGCAAAGGCAAATAAGAATTATGTGAGAAAAACCTTCCTTGTCTTTCATAGATGCTCAAGAGTTTCACCTCAGTTTACACTGTAACTCACTAAATCCAACAACAGCAAAGTTATAATTTACAAATGATCTCAATATTCCACTTCTGTCAAAATATTTTATTAAAGCAATAGTGAACACCTTCAAAGAAGAAGAAACAAACCTCTGGTAGGCACAACGTACAAAAGCCCATCTGCTCAGAGGTGTTAGCTCCTTCTAACTGCGCCCTTAATGAAATTCATGATGGGGACTTTTCTGACCCAAACACCCCACACCAATTGGAAGTGGCTATATTAGTGGCTATATTAAAAGGTCATCTCTTCTTCTCCATGGCAATTGAATTCAGATGATATATTTAAAGAATCTGTTACACTATATTTAAATACTCTATAGGAGAAACCTCAAATCCATGAGAATTATTCTTCTTCATTCCATTCATTCTATGATGCTTCTCGTCCAACCAATTCATTTTCAATAGGGTAGGGTAAGTCAGAGTTGACCTTGCCCAAGTTCTTTTCTCTTTGTAGTAACCAAAACTACGTCCTCTGAATTTGAAAACTGTACACTGTATACAAGTATAGATTTGAACTACTCTCACATGACATGTGTTTTATTAAATGATATGAACAGAATAATAAACAAGATATGCCTCCTGTTCTATTCACCCTGGTAGAAGCATGTTGTTCAGTATCCATGGTTTTCAAATTTTTCACAATTTTTAAAAATTTTACTTTCAGCTTCATTACAATGTCAGAAACATACATGGTTCAATTTTATTATTACTTTTTAATTTCTTTAGAATTTCCCTATGATCTAGCCATATGGTCTGCTAGAAAAAGTTCCATGCACTGATGAGAAGAATGTGAATTTTCCAGGTACAGGATGAAAAGTTTTGGAGACAGCGATTAGGTCCATACGGTTCCCAGCTAGACTAACTGCTGTTTCTGTATTGATTTTTAAAAATCTAGTTGATTTGTCACTGATAAAAGTGAGGTGTTTAAGTCCCTCATTATTATTGCATTGCTGTCATTCTTTCCCTTTAGATTCATTAATATTTGTTGTAAACAGGTGTCCTGGATTTGGGTGCATATACATTTACCATAGTCACATCTTCCTGTTGAATGAATTGATTTCTTAATCATTACATAAAGCCCTTCTTTGACTCTAAACAGTTTTTGCCTTAAAGTCTACTTTGTCTGACAACAGGAAGACTACACTTGCTTATTTTT